CCCTGGAAGGCCAGATAATGAAGCTGAAGCTCAAATACTTTGGCCACCCAATGAGAAGGGAGCACTCACGGGAGAAGACCCTGATGCTGGGAAAGACTGAAGGTCAAAGAAGACGGGGACGGCAAAGGATGAGATGGTTAGACAGTGTCATAGATGCAACAAACATGAAGTTGAGCCAACTTCAGAGGACAGCGGAAGACAGGAGGGCCTGGCGGGATCTGGTCCATGGGGTCGCGAAGAACTCAGACTGTGCGACTGAACAACAACCACCTGTACCCTAATGTTTTCCAATGGAGCCCAGGCAAACTCATTGGCATTCCAGGCTCCCATGATTTCCAATGGGCCTTCCGGAGTCTCCCACTGTTTCCAAAGGGCAATCCTGTCCTTCCTTTTAGTGCATCCCTCACAAAGTAGCCTTTGTGCTCACAGGGCTCCGCAGCTTAGAGGGAACGTCGATGGTCCTCCTCCGCCTCGCCTGGTTTTGCGCACGGCTGAAGCGCACGGCAAGGTGGACCCGGGCGGCGGCGGGGCTAGGTTCGCTCCGCGGCTCCCGTTCCCTGCTGGCGGCGGCGGCGGGGCCTGGGGGCTGGCAGCTCCCTCCCTCCCCGCCTCCTTCCCTCCCTCCCTCCCTCCCGGCTGGCAGGGCGGCCCTGGCACTGGCGGGCGGGCGGCGATGGAGGCGTCGTGGTCGTCCTCGTCCTCCTTGGCGGCGCCGTGGTCTCCGGCTTTCTGGCGGCGCCTGTCCGGGCCGGAGGAGGCGCGGGCGCTGGAGCTGCTGAGCTACGGGCTGGCGGGCTGCATGGCGGCGGCGGCGGTGCTGGGGCGCACCGTCCGCGTCCCCTACGGGCGCTACTCCTCGGCGCTGCTGGGCGGCTCGGCGCCGGCCCGCCTGGCCTGGGCGGTGCAGGAGGCGCCCGCCTTCCTCCTCCCGCTCCTCCTCGTCCTCCGCAGCGACGGCGCCCAGCTCCACCGCTGGCCCAACCGCCTCCTCCTCGCCCTCTTCCTCGCCCACTACGCCTACAGGTGCGCCCGACGGGATGGAGGGGACATGGGGACGGGGGGCTTCCTCTGGATCGCCCAGCGCGGAGGGTTAGGGTGGCGGCGCTCCGGTCCCCGGCCGGGCAGGTAAGGAGCTGCGGCAGCGGCACCTTCTGTCCGGGAGCCACCTGGGAAGGCACTCCTTTGGAGCAGCCATGCACCTTTTGTTATGAGGTTATTAAGAAGCTGAACTGCAGGCTGTGGAAGGTCGGTCGTTCAGCAGTTCGAGACCCGGGTGCCGCAAGATGGAGTGAGCTCCCGTCTCTAGCTCCAGCTCCTGCCAACCTAGCAGTTCGAAAGCAAGAAATGGCAAGTAGATAAAGAGGGACCACTTTGGTGGGAAGGTAACAGCGTTCCGTGTGCCTTGGTGTTTAGTCATGCTGGCCTCATGACCACGGAAACGTCTTCGGACAGCGCTGGCTCTTCGGCTTGGAAACGGAGATGAGCACCGCAACCCTAGAGTCGGATTCGACTGGCTTTCGAGCAAGGGAGACCTTTACCTTTACTTTAATACAACTAATATCATAAAAACTTAAAATTGAGATGTTAAAATTGAGAGCTTATTTATGATTGGAGAGAAACAAAGGGGAAATGACACACACACACACACACACCCGGTTTATACTGTCGTTTTTATACTGGCGTTGACAAAGGAAATTTTCGAAACATGTCAGGCAGCTGAGATTCGGTTACAGCCACAGAGCGCTGGGTCTTCGGCTTGGAAACGGAGATGAGCACCGCAACCCTAGAGTCGGACTCGACTGGCTTTCGAGCAAGGGAAACCTTTACCTTTACTATCCAGGGTTGCCAGCAATGTTCCCTCTAAGCTGTGGGGTCTTGTGAGCAAAAATTCGACTCGGTGAGCGACTGGCATCAAAGTGGTGAGCGAGCAGTTTGGCCGCTGCATCAATTAGTTTGCTCCAGAGAGCCCTCCTTCCTGAGCTAAGAGAAAAACGTGTGAGCCGGAGGCTAAAAAACTGTGAGCTAGCTCACTCTCACTCAGCTTAGAGGGAACAGTGGTTGCCAGCAGTGTACCCTCTAAGCTGAGTGAGTGTGAGCTAGCTCACAGTTTTTTAGCCTCCGGCTCACACGTTTTTGTCTTCGCTCAGGAAAAGTAGCTCCAGAGCAAACTAATTTATGCACTAGCCAAATCGCTCGCTCACAACTTACATGCAAGTAGCTCATAAAGTAGAATTTTTGCTCACAGGACTCCATAGCTTAGAGGGAACATTGGTTGCCAGCAGTGTTCCCTCTAAGCTGAGTGAGTGTGAGCTAGCTCACCGTTTTTGAGCCTCTGGCTCACATATCTTTGTCTCCACTCAGGAAGGAGGGCTCCAGAGCAAACGAATTGATGCAGCAGCCCAATCGCTCACTCACCACTTTAATGCCAGTCGGTCACCAAGTAGAATTTTGGCTCACAAGACTCCACAGCTGAGAGGGAACATTGGTTGCCAGCTTGGTCGGGAAATACCTGGAGATTTGGGGGGGGTGGAGCCTGAGGAAGGAGGGCAGGGTTTGGGGGACTTGGGGTAGAGGGAGGCCAGCCCCCAAGTAGGGCCTGTGGACGCCCCCTGTGCCCGGAATGACAGGTCGTGACCGATGCTCCCTCTAAGCTTGGGGAGTCTTGTGAGCACACATCCTACTTGGTGAGCTACTGGGATTAAAGTGGCAAGCCAGCGGTTCGGCTCCTGCAGAAAATTAGTTTGCTCCGGAGCCCTCCCTTCCCGAGCTGAGATGGAAATGGGTGCGCTGGAAGGCTAAAAAACGGTGAGCCGGCTCACACTGACTCGGCTTAGAGGGAACACTGGTCATTACAGACCTACAGAGCTCAGTTCCCCTGGAGACAAATGGGTGCTTCGGAGGGTAGACTCGTGGCATTGCACCCCACTGAGGTCCTGGCCTCCCCAGACTCCACCCCCGAAGCTCCAGGGGTTTCACAACCTGGGGTTGGTAATTCTGTGCCTCCAATTTCCCACTGGGGTGCGCGCAGCCCTCCTGGGGTATCGTGCCATAAAATCCACCTTCCAAAGCAGCCATTTCCTCCAACTGAACTGATCTCTGTCAGCTGGGGTGCAGCAGTAACCCCCGAAAGATGTGCAGCCACCCCCTGGACATGTAAACCAAAGATGAGACATACCCTGCTAACCAGGGCTATTTTTGGGCAGGAACGCACAGGAACGGAGTTCCGGCTGGCTCCCGAGTTGGCCACGCCCAGCAGGAACTCATTAGCATAATAAGCCACACCCAACAGCAGGAACTCATTAGGATTGGCTACATTAGGGGTGTGTGGCCTAACATGCAAAGGAGTTCCTGCTACAAAAAAGGCCCTGGGTTTTGACAACAAACAAGGTAAACAGAATAAGAAGGGAAAGGTGGGTGTGGCTGGATGACCACACTTCTGGTAACATGGGGGTGCGGCCTAATGTGCTAATCAGCTGTGCTGTCAGGGGTGTGGCCTAATAGGCTAATGAGTTCCTGCTGTTGGGTGTGGCCTATTATGCTAATGAGTTCCTGCTGGGCTTTTTCTACAAAAAGAACCCTGGATGAGACACACCGTGCTAACTTACGTTACGAATTCTCTATTGTTGTAAAACGGACATGAAATATAGCTTCACTAAACTTAAAGATACTTATACATCCAATGCATAATCCTCCTGGGTGTATAACAAACTGTTTTGAAAGCATCAATACAACTGAGAAGAACTTGTGTAATTTCTTCCTCCGAAGACGCCTCTGTGGCTTGACCGCAGTTGTGGCTGCAAGCTCTTCTGGAACCGAATCCCAGCTGGCTGACGCATTTCGGAAATTTTCTTCGTCAAAGCCAGTATAAAAACGACAAACATAATAAATATCATATAAATACATTTACCTCTACGTTCAAGTGAGTCCCCAGACCTAGCAAATCCAATACTTAACGCAGCTTGTATTTCTCTAAAGAGTCACCCAACTTTCACAGCAACCGCCTGCAGACTTGGTTCTGACTTGTGGCGTGTCTTTCAGGTGTAAAGACCGCATAGGCTGTGTGTTCAATTATTATACTAAAAAGTGCTGGGTCCGGAGTTACAACCGTAACAACGTACATCCAGTTTTACAGCAGAGTTGAAGTCCTGGGAATACATTCTGTTGAAAGTTATAAGAAGCAACTTACGTAAATGTAGGGGTTCTACAAGATTCCTTCTTGTCTCCAAAGACAAGGGGAGGGGGAGGAGCCGTGGTTCAGTGGCGGAGCCTCTGCTTGGCATGCAGAGGGTCCCAGGTTCAATCCGCGGCATCTCCAGTTAAAAGGACCAGGCGGTAGATGATGGGAAAGACCTCTGCCTGAGACCCTGGAGAGCCGCTGCCAGTCTGAGTAGACAGATACTGACTTGGTGGACCAAGGGTCTGATTTAATATAAGGCCGCTTCATGTGATCATGTGATGTTTAATATCTACATAAAATCGACAGCTGGGATGTTGGGATGGATATCTTTCCCTGTGGTCCTGAGACCAGGCACTACTTTTCCTTTTCGTGGGAAGCAATGAAGGGTCTAACTCAGTCTCTAGAGTCGGAGATCGATTGGAAGAGGGTGAACAAACCGAAAAGTAATCCTGATAAGAAAGAGGTCGTGCTGATGGTGTTCTGAGTTGTTCCCTAGATCATCTAGAGATTATTTATGTTTTATTATTGGAGTTTACATGTCATCAGTGTAGCTCGCTCTCTCACACACACAAACACATTTTCATCTAATACTAGGAATGCTGTGGACAATTTAAGTCGTTGGTTTGTGTCCTGAGCGCTACCGTAGGACAGTGGTGGCGAACCTATGGCACGGGTGCCAGAGGTGGCACTCAGAGCCCTCTCTGTGGGCACGCGTGCCATCGCCCCAGCCAGGTCCAGACCGTCATTAAAGTGTCGCATTCTCTGTCAAATAATTTTAAGTCAATGAAAGCATTTGGGATTGCTTTCCTTACTTTGTTTGGATCATCTTAAGTTAATGTATGAGTGGTTTTTTCTAAAGTAAAACCTCAGTATTCAGGTTCAATTGCCATGTTGGCACTTTGCGATAAATAAGTGGGTTTTGGGTCGCAGTTTGGGCACTCGGTCTCTAAAAGTTTCGCTATCATTGCCGTAGGACTTGTCAGACTCTACAAGTGTGACAGTTTTCCTCAGACTCTATAGGTGTTAAATTGCTTAACATCACTGTGCCTTTATTTATATTTTTCCCCCCAGTGATGGACAGAAATATCACAAACCAGGCTTTCTACCACACTGTTTACACACACACGTACCTAGAAATTTCATTGTTGCACCTAGTACTTTCAGCAGTGATTTGTGCTGCGCGAACTGCAGGGGCTGCCTATTGAATTCCGGATCCATTTCAAGGTGCTGGTGCTTACCTTTAGAGCCCTATACGGCCAGGGGCCGGCATACCTACGAGACCGCCTCTCCCCATACGAGGCCCAGAGGACGCAGGTCCACAGATCAACATCTGTTAGTGGTTCCGGGCACCAGGGACATCCGGTTAGCCTCGACCAGGACCAGGGAATGAGCTCCCGTGTGAGATCAGGGCCCTGCGGGACTTATTGCAGTTCCGCAGCGCCCCCCCCCCCTTCCCCCCCCCCCCCCAAGCTTCTCTGGCCCTAGGTTTTCTACCCAGCTTTTTCTGGCTAGTTGTCCACCAGTGGCTGGATTCTGATTGGTCATCTGAGTACTGCTAGAGTTAGCGTGGTATTTTAGGATATTGTATGGTATTTTATGTGTAAATTGTTATTTTAATATTGCTCTCATTGTATTATTTAACTGTTAGACAACGCCCTGAGCCCATCTAGGGAGGGTGGTATATAAATCTAATTAAATAAATAAATAAAGTAAGGAGGTTTTGATTAAGGTGACGGCCAGGGCTGCCCCCCATTTTTGTATTTATATTACAGCGCATTTATTTATTTATTTATTTATTATATTTATACCCTGCCCACAAGGGTCGTTTCGTAGAAAAAGAGCTAGGGGGACTCATTAGCATAACTCATTAGCATATGCCACACCCCCTGACATCACCAGAAGTGTGTCATAAGGCCACACCCCCTGACATCACCGGAAGTGTGTCGTAAGGCCACACAACCCTGCCCCCAACGGTCCTGGCCACCACCGCCGGCCTTGCAGCTCCACTGCCGAGCCCCATGAGAGGCCCGGCGGTGGACCTGCAAGGCCGGCGGGAGTGCAAGGAAGCCCCGCGAAGGCCCTCCCTGGCCCCAGGCAGGCAGGGGTGGGGAGAGGCAGGGAGGAAGCAACTTACCCTCCCTCTTCTCCTGCCTCCTCCTGGCTGAATGTAATGACCTCTGCCTGCCCATCCTGCAAACAGGCTCAGGGCTTGAACAAAATTACAAGAAACCGTGCAGGGCAGAAGGTGGCTCACATTCTTGGTTTTCTAATAGGTTTGGTGGTAGCAATAATTAGAAAACATTGTCATTAAAGTAAAAACCCTGAAGCCTGAATAACGAGTCTGGCACCTAAACGTTTTGGCTGACTCCTAGAGCAAAAGCAAATTTGTCGAGGCCTTTACTTTACTTTCTTCTTGGCAAAAGAGACGGGGGGGGGGGGAATGGCATTTGTCCATTGGAATTACAGAGGCCAACAGTCTTCCTTTAATCTCTCCAACATCAAGCAAGAAGTGCAGGTCCCTTATAAGGCAGAAAGTAAAGGAATTCCTTGATAGTCATTGTACTAACAATTCTGGAGGTAAATGCTGGTAGGCCAAAGGTCACGTAGCAAGCCTCCATAGTAGAGTGGGGATTCGAAGCAGGATTTCCCAAATCCTAGTACGGCACGGTAAGCACTACACCATGCTGACTCTATATACTCAATACACTACCGTTGATTGAGCCAAACCTCCTTTTTCATGCTTTCCGTGTCAGTAACGGTGCCTGAATTAACCAGTTAAAACTGCCCCCAGTTGGTTCATAGTTTCCCCAGTATCAGAGAATAATGACATAGGAGCTTGCAAGTGGGCAAAGAACAACTTTATTCTAAATGAATAAACTTTTAAAAATTGTCCATCATTATTGTTGGTGTCCAAAGACGACTCCTTGCTTTCAGGGCAGTCATCCGATAGAGGAAATGGACCTCAAAACTATAAACAAACTGATAAGCATTAAAAATATTATTATATTAATCACCGTGTCTTCAATATTATCAACTTTGTCAGAGGAGTTCAAGTAAATGCTTTAAACAAAGTTTACAAGGAAAAAAATGTATGTGCCCAAATTTCAATAATTTAATGAAATATATAGATGTGACCAGTGTTCCCTCTAAGCTGAGTTAGTGTGAGCTAGCTCACAGTTTTCTAGCCTACAGCTCACACATTTTTGTCTCAGCTCAGGAAGGACGGCTCCAGAGCAAACGAAATTATGCAGTAGACAAATCGCTCGCTCACAACTTTAATGCCAGTAACCCACCAAGTAGAATTTTTGCTCACAAGACTCCACAGCTTAGAGGGAACATTGGATGTGACATATATAATACTCAAAACAAATTTTCCCGTGGCACAAACATGGACAGATAGAAATTCACAGGTAAAGTGTATCACAGGTGGAAATTCACAGGTGGAGTTTTTCCATAAACAATATACAATAATAAAAATGCACCTGCATTTGTTTCTTGTTTACATATATTGCTGTGCCACTGCCTTTCATCTTGTATCTTAAGCATAGTTTAAACATTTGTTGTTGTTGTTGTTCAGTCGCACAGTCGAGTCTGACTCTCCGCAATCCCATGGACCCCATCACGCCATGCCCTCCTGTCTTCGCCGTCCTCCGGAGTTTGCTCAATCTCATGTTCGTTGCATCGATAACACTGTCTAACCATCTCACCCTTTGCCGTCCCCGTCTTCTTTGACCTTCAGTCTTTCCCAGCATCAGGGCCTTCTTCTTCAGTGAGTGCTCCCTTCTCATTGGGTGACCAAAGTCTTTGAGCTTCAGTCTCATTATCTGGCCTTCCAGGGAACAGTCAGGGTTGATTTCCTTTAGGATTGACTGATTTGATCTCCTTGCAGTCCAAGGGACTCTCAAGAGTCTTCTCCAACACCATAATTCGAAAGCATCTATTCTTTGGCACTTGGCCTTTGGCGAGGTTTACACAGCATAGTTGGCTTGGAATAATATTGAAGACACTGAGATTAATATAATAATAATATTATTAAAGCTTATCAGTTTGTTTACAGTTTTGATGGTTTGTTCTCGGCGTTTTTCTTTCTTTGCTCAACCTTCAGGTAGGGCCTGGTGTTCTCCTGGAATTTCAGGAGATTCTCTCGGTGCCCCCCCCCCCCCCCCAACTCCCCATCCTCACCAAACTCCACCCCCCCCCAGCAGTGCCTCCAAATCTCCCAAGAATTTCCCAAGCCAGAAGTGACAGGCAGCCCTGCAAGACAGCAGTGATATCCTGCTCACTTTCCCCACCCAACTGGGCAGCCTCACACAAGGAAGCATCGCCTCACCGCCAGCCCCCTCCCCATCTCATTGCAATATTTCAACCATGGTAACTGCTATCATCATTGAATTATTGAAGGATTATCAAAGTCATATGCATAAAACAGCTTTGAGCACTTGAGATGGACTTCATGCATATTGGTTTGGATCCCCCAGAATATTTTCCCATTGCACAAGAAGTATGCAATAATCATGTTAGCACCAGTGTTCCCTCTAAGCTGAGTTAGTGTGAGCTAGCTCACAGTTTTTTAGCCTCTGGCTCACACATTTTTGTCCTAGCTCTGGAAGGACGGCTCCAGAGCAAACTCATTTATGCAGTGGCCAAATTGCTCGCTCACAACTTTAATGCCAGTAGCTCATAAAGTAGAATTTTTGCTCACGGGACTCCATCACTTAGAGGGAGCATTGGTTAGCACCTTGCAGTAAGTTAAACAGCGTATCCTAAACTAGATCCAGGTGGGGAGGCGTGTTGGTCCGAAGCCGCAGAACAAAGTTTGAGTCCACTGGCACCTTTGAGACCCACAAAGTTTTATTCAAGGTGTGAGCGTTCATGTGCATGCACACTTCCTCAGATACATTGAAATGGAAGTTACCAGTCCATACCTATAGGAAGAGGGTGAACAGTAAATACAACATAATGATGATGTTTTAACAGATGCAAATTTGCTGTTCACCTTCTGCTATAGGTGTGGACTGTCAATTTCCAATTCAATGTATCGAAGGAGGTGTGCGTGCACATGAAAGTTCATACGCTGAATAAAAGTCCATTGGTCTTCAGTCCCACTGGACTCAAAATTTGCTTGTATACTGAACTGTTTTTCAACTTGCGTAAGACATTGTGCAAGCAATTTCTGGGCATTAAGATACAGGGAGGAGAGTACTAGGTTTTGCATATCTTTCATCCGTGTTCCCACTTGTGCATCACTGTATCCAGGCCATTATTATTAAGCCTCATTTCAATAAAGGGAGCTGCTTAGAATTGCATCTGACACATATTTCTCAATTTGTTTTGACTTAGGGTATTAAAGCGTGTGAAGTTGTTCTCATAGTTTTAAAATCTGTGTGTGGGAGTGGGTGCCGTTCAGTGGAAGAGCCTCTGCTTGGCATGCAGAAGGTCCAGTTTCAATCTCCAGTACGTCCAGATAAGAGGATTGGATGATAGGTGATGTGAAAGACCTCCGCCCGAGACCTCGGGAAGCTGTTGCCAGTCTTGAGTAGACTTTGAATCAATGCCAACGGCCGTATTAGCTGGCCGCTATAGTAGAACACCCAAGGAACAGCGCTGTTGTATTTGTGGCTCTTCTGTTATTGAGGATCTTCCCCATTATATCCTTGAATGCTCAATGTATACCCAACCTAGGCTAAAATTTCTCTCTGGTATTTTATCAGTTTTAAGCTCTTATTCAGACCCTGAGAAGACTGTATATTTGTTAGCTGATTCCAATGTCAATGTATCCTATAGAATGGCTCTATTTGCCTTGGCTGCAAAGAAAATACGGGCCAACGCTGTTCTTAGGGGTACTAGTTAATATTGATCTTAGTGGGTATGCTGTGATTTAATTAACTGTTCATCATAGACGTAATCTTCATGGGGGTGGCGGGGCGTTAGCCCCTGCCGAAATTTTCAGGAAGGTGCTCAGCCTCCCCCGGGAGCCACCCTTGCTCCTAGCAAAGCAATGCCTCTGGCCCAGCCCCAGCCCCAGCCCTCCCTCCCCCGGGAAATTGGAAAGTCTAGACCCTTGCTGTTCATAACTTCGGTTTTATGGTTTTATAATATTTTAGACTGTATTTTATACAATTATCTATGTTTTATGGTATTTTTTCTCTGTTTTTGGTTTGTAATGGCCTATGGCTAAATACAATAAAACCCTTCTCTCTCTACATAGAGTAGACAATAATGACCTTCATGGACCAAGAATGTGATTCAGTGTGAGGCTGCCTGTGTGTATAAAATATGTGTTTTACTTAAATGTATCAGAACACATACAGATACTAAAATAAGCCATATGCCAACAGGTAATCAGTAGTCACTTTGTTATTTGGAAGATAATTCCAAGAATTATTCATATTTCTTGGTGAATTTTTGTCCCTTTCACATTAGATCTCAATTGTACAGCCAGTTTTGTGATTGTTAATCTATCCCAGAGCTTACAAAAGCATTCTTGTTTAGCAAAGTTCGCTTTTTAAAGCCCTTTGCAATATTGGGCATCGTTCCGCATGCTCACAGCAGCTATTCTACATAAAACTAAACCTTGTAAATTTGCAGGAATTTGGTGGTGAGTAAAATTGTGCAACTCCCTCCCCCAATCTAGTGGAAGCTTGTTCCAAGCACATTGTTAATAGTAGTTTTAACTATGTTTCAGGATATAATATCTCCACTGCACAACCGCCCCATAGCTGGGACTGTTAAATCACTGTCGTATATATCTGTAATATTCAGCCATGCCAACATGAAAACCTTACCTTTTGTCTTCATTCTAGGGCATTCGTCTTCCCTTTCTTAATTCGTGGAGGAAAGCCAACACCGATCATTACTTGTGCACTAGCCTTTGTCTTCTGCTGTTGTAATGGATACTTGCAAGGCCGGAGTTTGAGTAACTACGCAGAATACCCAACGAGCTGGTTGAAAGAGCCGTGTTTCATTCTAGGTGAATTTACGTCAAGTATGAAGTGGGTTACAGGTTCTCAAGGAGGCCCGTAGCTGGGATTTTTTTAAGTTGGGGGGCATTTAAATTTCTTAGGGGGCACTGGCTAATTGAATTAAAGGAATACCCGGCTCCTTCCCCGGATCCGCCGCTGCTCAGGGGCTCTGGGCTGGATGGGAAATCGTGGGGCCTAGCCCCGAGATGCTGCACTGTAGTAATAATAATAATAATACCTTTTGATTTATTGATCGCTCAATCCGGCAGAGCTGCTGGCTCTGAGCGATTTACAGTTACACGGTTTCACACAAGGGACTAACAGTTTCATAGGGGTAAGGGAGGACAACATATAATTCTTTAAATCGCACACATTTTGCAGCCAACGGGGATTTTTGTTCAGCTGTAGGCTTCAGATGTGTTTTGGAGGCATTCACTTTTCGGCTTGGCTTGATGACGTTGGTTCTTCCTTGGCTGCTTTGAAACGTAGCGCCGCACTGCCACCGCCTGGCCAGATTGGCCCATTACAGGCTTCTTAATGCCGAAGAGGTCTTTTTATCAGGCTTCCGAGCTTACGAGTTGGACATTCCGTTTCGCTAACACCTCCCCTACGAGGGTTTAGTGTGCCCACCCTCTCTAAGGAGTGGTACCCATTTGATCTACTTGCCGAAGCTTTCGAACTGCTGGGTGGACGGCGAGCTGGGGACAAGGCTGGTAGCTCGCACCAGCGCAGGCTAGAACTGACAGCAACTCTGCTCAGTTCAGATGTTAACCATAGGATAAATCCTCTGTGCCACCGCTCCCCTCCCAGCTACGGACCTGTTCTCAAGTATGTGTCACAGTGGGTTCTCTTCAGGTTACATTGCTCTTCTGAATTCTGTCCATAGCCATGTTGTATTGTGCTACAGTGGAAAAGCTTTGCACTCTCCTTTCAGGCTGAGATGCCACCTTCTGTCCAGCCGAACCTGAACGCATCCCCCTTCCAATCAAAAAAGCAACCCCTATAGAAGGAAAATGCACACACACACACACACACACGTTGCTGAAGTTTCTGAACTGTTGTGGTCAATCTTCCCTCTAAGCTGTGGAGTCTTGTGAGCAGAAATTCTACTTTGTGAGCTACCGGCATTAAAGCTGTGAGCGAGTGACTTGGCTACCGCATACGAGTCAAGTTGGAGAAATACTGGCTTTCAGGCATGACACGCCTTGTTGTTCAGTCGCAGAGTCGAGTCCGACTCTTCGCGACCCCATGGACTAGATCCCTCCTGTCTTCCGCTGTCCTCTGAAGTTTGCTCAATTTCATGTTCGTTGCATCTATGACACTGTCTAACCATCTCATCCTTTGCCATCTCCGTCTTCTTTGACCTTCAATCTTTCCCAGCATCAGGGTCTTCTCCAGTGAGTGCTCCCTTCTCATTTGGTGGCCAAAGTATTTGAGCTTCAGTTTCATTATCTGGCCTTCCAGGGAACAGTCAGGGTTGATTTCTTTTAGGATTGACTGATTTGATCTTCTTGCAGTCCAAGGGACTCTCAAGCCGGAAGCTAAAAAACTATGAGCTAGCTCACACTAACTCAGCTTAGAGGGAACACTGGTTATGGTTGTTTGTTCTGAGCAGACACCAGCAACCAGCGATTGATGACAGGGACAGAGGGCACAGTGAAGCAGCAGTTAGCACCATTAGACCAGGGACAGCCGGTGGGTGTGCTCTTGAAAGTCCGTGCACCAGAGAGCGGTTGCACCAGAGCATGCAGCAGGGTTGAAGAAGTAAGGGCCATTCTCCCTTTGAAAATACAAGAGCCGGAGGTTATCGGGCTTTGTTTTAAGAATGGATCGGACATCTTATGCTGTCTGGTAGCACTATTTTTATATTTTGTAATCCACCTTGAATCTCAGAAAGGCAGCCTATAAACAAGTGAATTAAAATACCTTGTTTGTTTATTCAGGTTTTCGCACTGTCTCCGTTGATCTTAATGTTTCCCTTTTAGTCTTTGAGATCGGAAAATGACGATTTTAAGCTGACGTTTCAGCTCGGTGTGCTCCTTTAGTGCTGAATGCGTTCACCCGCTTCGGGAGAGGGGATCAAAGTGTAATACAAGCCTCCTCCGAGACTTGATCACACCAATCTCAACTCTCTCTTGGGTCTTGATGCCTGCCCGTCATTCCCCCTGCCTGGGGGAAGCAGCGTTGGACCATAATACAGTCCAAACTGCTGTAAGGAACCACCGTCCACCCTGAGCATTTACAGGGTGCGTCAAATCGCCATTTTACCCCGACCGGAAGCCCGAAGAAATTGGAGGCACGAAGGCATATTACCAGTTGTGTACTTAGCAGATTTATTTTCTTGTGTAAAATGTATCTTTTTTTCAACCAGGATTTTAATGTTGTTACCGCAGGTATTGCAGGGTGGATTGGCGGCCTACTGATTAATATACATTCGGATAATATTTTAATAAATCTCAGGAAACCAGGAGAGACAGGCTACAAAATACCGAGAGGTGAGTAATGTCCTATAGAAACCTGGCATCACCCATGCTTCATAGAAATTTAGCAAATCTTGCATGCCAACATGCTGATTAGATAGGTGCTGCTCATATATTTACAATGGGTTCCTGGCCTCATACACATCTTACTTTTATAATATAACTTGCATATTAAAATGGGTAACGGCCCTTTCTGTTTGCAAGGTTCATTTATTTGTTTGGTTGCCTAGAGAACTTGCTCTGTTTTATAGCCGCTAGAGACCCTACGGCTGCATGCAGTCTTGCACCCAGATACATAGGCCCACGTCCCATTTCTTTCCATGGGACTGAAGGATGTGTTAACTCTGGCAACCTAATTTTATTATTTAGGCTAGGTTGCAAGCCAAGGTGGTTTATTCTGTGTTCAGGCAGCAGTAGCCAGCCTATAACACTCAAAAGAAATACAAATGCAGAAACTGCAAGTCTTCAGCAACTTTAGGGAAGGGCCGTGGCTCAGCGGGAGAGCATCTGCTTCGCATGCAGGAGGTCCCAGGTTCAGTCCTTGGAATCTCCAGCTAAAAAGATCAGGTCGTTGGTGATGTGAGAGACCTCTGCCTGAGACACCGGAGAGCCACTGCCAGTCTGTGTAGACACTGATCTGAGGCAGCTGTATATGTTCAGGTGTTCAACTGTTGTGATCTGCTTCATAGTATACTCACAACAGTACATGGAAAACACCAAGCAATAGGCAGCAACTTTATGGCTGCAATACTGGCAGTGTAATACTGGAAACCCATCCCTTTTTTTCCCCTCTTGTAAATAATGACTTGTAAATAAGGAGCTGCGGTGGCTCAAGTGGTTAAGACGCTGAACTGCAGGCTGTGGAAGGTCGGTAGTTCAGCAGTTTGAGACCCAGGGTGCCGCATGACGGAGTGAGCTCCTGTCTCTAGTTCCTGCTCCTGCCAACCTAGCAGTTCCAAAGCAAGAAATTGCAAGTAGATAAATAGGTACCGATTCGGTGGAAAGGTCACAGCGTCCCGTGCGCCTTGGTGTTTAGTCATGCCGGCCGCATGACCACGGAAACGTCTTCGGACAGCGCTGGCTCTTCGGCTTGGAAACGGAGAAGGGCACCGCAACCCTAGAGTCGGACTCGACTGGCTTTCGAGCAAGGGAAACCTTTACTAAATAATGACACTGGAGGGTTGCAGGCAGAGGAAACCCTGCCTGGTTCCCGCAGTCTGAAGCCCAGTGGGATGAGGAGGGCTTTGTGAGAAATTGCAAGAGATGAGGCGGTGCTTCTGAGGGAGCTGGCCAAATCCCCTTCCAAGCCTGAACATTCCTGCAGTCAATATTTCGGTATGACACACAATTGAGGTGTGGGGGTATCCATACTGCACAAGTCATCCAGCACGGGGATGTTGCTGTGTCTTCTCAAACACTGCTTGGCCAACCATGTCGGTGGGCAAGGTGTTTGACGGCAATGGCCACGGGCGCCCATTCTCCCCCATTTTCTTCCCGAGTGCAGGATGTGCAGGAGAGAAACCACCAGGGCTATTTGTGGGCAGGAACGCACAGGAACGGAGTTCCGGCTGGCTTCAGAGCTGGCCACGCCCACTACAGCCAAAACCTCTGCGTGCCTGGCTACAGAGGGAAGGCCTGGAGAGCGGACCCCCCTCCAGTGACTCTGAGGCGGGCAGGCCGGGGGGGGGCTGGAAGGATCAGGGAGGCATTTAAATGCCTCCCTGTGCCTTCCCCGGCCTGTCCAAGGGTTGGCTTGCCCGGGCGCCCCGCAGCCGTGGGAGTGGCCCGGGCAAAGCCAAAGGAAGGCACGGGGTGTGTGGCCTAATATGCTAATGCGTTCCTGCTGTTGGGTGTGACCTATTATGCTAATGAGTTCCTGCTGGGCTTTTTCTACAAAAAAAGCCCTGGAAACCACCATCGTTCCTTGTCTGCATCGGTGGCCCAGTGCGCCCATTTCCTCCAGGAGAACTGATCTCTGTAGTCTGGAGATGAGCTGTAATTCCAGGGGATCCCAAGGTCCCACCTGGAGGCTGGCATCCCTAATCCAGACTAAATATTCCAGTGGCAGAATGGACATTTTCCATGTCCCCCCCCCCTCCCACTGTAGCTCACTGTTCTCCATGAAATGCTGCTCCTGGGGGATGCGGGACCCTAAGGAATGACACAAGGGGGGGGGGGTCTGCAGCAAGAAGAAAATCAGCAGAAATTGCCAATTTAGTTTGGAGCAATAAACTTGGTCAATGCTTGAGACAGACCTTTGAAAGTAAACAAAATCAGATAATTTTCCATCTGAGTCACTATTTCTTGACTAAACGTCAGCCTATGGCCTGATTTCTTAAGACTTCTGTGAAGGCTATTAAAGGCTTTTGTCTTCCCAAGAGATGCCGCCAGGCATAGTTGGAAACGCCACAGTTTGATTTAATATAACATTCAGGTGGTTAGATGCAACTTGGAAGCCATAACTTCGGGAACTGGGGTTTCAAAGAACTCCAGAGGCTTCCCTGTTTGGGAGCAAAGCTATACCAGATTGACTTGCTAAGTTGTCACACAACCATTGTTTGTTGTTTAGGAGGAGTGTTTGAATATGTCAGCGGAGCAAACTTCTTTGGAGAGATCATCGAATGGTCTGGGTTTGCTCTCGCTTGTTGTACGGTGGAAAGTGCCGTTTTTGCCTTCAGCACGTTTCTGATCTTGAGTACCCGAGCGCAGCAGCATCACCAGTAAGTGTTCAGTTTTTTCTACAGTTTCTGTCATGCATTTTGAGCTGAACTGATAAGATGTTCTCTTAAATTCTGTAGATATCTGTGATCAAACCCATTTTGATTGTCCTGCCTTGCTTGGCTTAGCTAGTTTATATTCATAATCCAGATTTCTAAAGAATGGAAACCCCTGACAAAGAGAAGCGAAATACTAAACATATCGCTCAGTTTTAGAACTCCTGTTTATTGCCTTTCTGCTCAAATTATCTTTCATATACAGTAAAGGGGTGGTTCTTAAATTGTTTTGACATAGGAAACACTTCTAAACGTACTGTACTTTTCTGGATCCTTTCCTACATTTACTGAACTTTTCATAGCCTTCTCTAAATTTATTGAACGATTGCAAAAAAATAACTTTGTGCAACATAAAACGCGCAAATCCATTAACACAGAATAAGTCTGTATTTTATTTTTCGTGCATGGCGTTTATACATATAAATAGATTCAGGTGGGTAGCCGTGTTGTTCTAAAGCAATAGGACAACGTCTGAGTCCAGGGGCACCTTTAAGGCCAACGAAGTTTAATTCTGGGGATAAGCTTTGTGCATGCACACAAAAGCTTCTACCCAGAATTAAACTTTGTTGGTCTTAAAGGCGCCACTGGACTGATACATGTATTTATAACATTGCCAGGCAACAGGCTGTAGTTCATGGCCATTTCACGCATTAGGCAAGAGGCAAACCCAAATTAGTTATTGACCCTCCTCTGCCCTGTTGGCCCTGTGGCCCACCTGCAAGAGAGTCATGACCCACTTTGGGGTCCTGACCAATGTTCCCTCTAAGCTGTGGAGTCTTGTGAGCAAAAATTCTACTTTGTGAGCTACCGGCATTAAAGTTGTGAGCGAGCGATTTGGCTGCTGCATACATTAGTCTGCTCTGGAGCCATCCTTCCTGAGCTAGGACAAAAATGTGTGAGCCGGAGGCTAAAAAACTGTGAGCTAGCTCACACTAACTCAGCTTAGAGGGAACACTGGTCCTGACCTATAGTTTGGGAATCACCACTCAGTACTTCGTCAGCCTTATGTGAACATTCAAAAATGAGAGTTCATGCACAAGTTTTTATATGTCTGCCTAACTAGAATTTATCTTCATTGCTTCTGGGGTTCAAATGTTGGAGAACATCAGCTTTTATAAAAGCAAATTCTCAGCAGTATGCCTGGGATGATACTCTAAAGTATGAGAACCAGAAGGGAAACATGAATACATTTGCACAGCTGAAAATTCTCCATGCGGGTAGTACTTTCTCAACACCCAGGTGAATATTCAACATTGCTGCAGGGGTTATAATAAAGTACAATGCATAAGAGAAACATTGCTGCAGGGGTTATAATAAAGTACAATGCATAAGAGAAACAATTTTTATCTGCTTACTGAACTATTTGGGCATGTAAGTGAATCACTTTTTAGGTTTTCTCTCTTATAAAGCAAGACAGTTATTAAAGTGGATGTTGGTGATCACACACACACACTGCTTTCACTCAGGCACCAGGACAAAACACATCTTTTTATCCAGAAGTTAAATTAGGTCTTTTCCCAGCTTTTTAAATGGTCTGCTTCTGTTTTATGGATAGTTGTTATGCTATTTATGTCCAATGGCTTGTTTTTTAATGGCTTGTTTTTATATCGTAGCATTGGCTTAATTGTAAACTGCTTCAAGCGGGACTCTGAAGAGGAAGCATAAATAAATAAGTCTCTCCTTCAGCTTGGGGAATTATGTACCGTCAAAGTTCTAATATGAATTCAGAATATTTTTGCTGTCACCAAGGCACTTAAGAAATATAAGCTGTGGAATCTTATTAAATTACTAGCAGAAGCGCAAGAACAAATTGTCCCGTGTCACATGTGGACATTAGCCCAACTATATAAAATCCTCTTTCTAGCTATATTAAAAATGGAGCCAAGTCATATAGCTCACGTTTTCTTTTCTTCTTCTTCAGGTGGTACCTTGAAAAGTTTGAAAACTACCCACAATCCAGGAAGATTGTGATCCCATTTGTGTACTAAGTGCTTCCTAATGTTCTCGGCTAATTCTGAATAATTTCTCTTTCGGAGTGGCAGCTGTTCTGAACAATAAATGTTGGCTAATGGGTTCTTCTGCAATTCTGGTGCTCCAGGGGAACTCTTATTAATGCAGAGGTTCTGTCAAAGGATGTCACAACAACATGTCCGGTTGGCCATTGTTTACTTGAAACTCCCTATTGACAAAGTCTTGGTTGGTGAACCTAATAAAGTTTCAGGAACCCACACTCCATACACCCACACTCCATACACCCAGGGGTGCATGGCATCATTTATTTGCTGGTGACCATTGGTCGTGGGGAGGGATTTAGACTTGCAGCACAAGATACAGATTAAAATGTAAAATCAGCTACACGTTTCACACTGTAAAACAACCAGTTATAAAATCATCAGAAGGTGGGCTGGCCTTAACATCATTAGATAAGATGGTTTCCGCTAACCACAGTAAATTTATTTCTCATTTTTGTGCTGCCAAGGGAGTGACGAAAGGGGTTTGTGTCCTTCAGCAAAAAGAAGAGTTTCCCATAGCCTTCCCTATGTTAGGTGTACCCCCTAGAAATTCTCTTCAATATCTTTATGAACCTACCTCAGATTTAACATTTCCTCACCGGCTATATCCTGTGTAACCCCCCCCCCCCCCCCCCCGCCACACCTGTTACATTGGATGGTTTACACACAGTGGGGCCTTTTCAATAGTGGGACTGACTGTACAATACCCATCCTGCAAATGGTTGCTTGGTTCCCCTCTGTGGCCTTTAGATGGCAAATGAAGATGGAAGTTAACTAGAGTAGCCAACCTCCAGGTGGGGCCTTGAGATATCCCAGAATTAGAACTGATTTTGAGGCAACGGAGATCAGCTTCCCTGAAAATAATGGCTGCTTTGGAGGGTGAAGTCAGTAGCGTTGTACTCCGTCCCCAAATCCCTCAGGTTCCACCTCCAAAATCACCAGGTATTTTCCTGTTGGATATTCTAACTGCATGCAAGAGGACCTGGGAGGGAAAGGGTTAAGAGAATCGGGTACACTTGGCAGTTGGCTTCACACTCTCATTGGTTAGATGCGTTGCTTGTCTCTCTTTCCTGGGCTTGGGCGCTGTAGCAAGTTAACCTTTTTGAAGTTAATCTGTTCACAATAAGCTAAATGTACCTACATGAATATGCCATGTAAGATGTGCTTCTATTTTTGTAAGTAAAATTTCTTTCTCTTGTTACCGTTGGAGTCAGATCATCTTTGTGACTGGTTTGAACAGCATTTTCTCCTTGAGTGGGAAAAGTGGAGGATCGAGGATACTGCGTAAAGCTTCTCTGCTTCAGAGTCAAATGATTTTTTTTTTTTACATTTCCCATCCCAGAGTTGGCAATGCTAACTATTTCATAGAGCATTTGGGATGTTATTTTTAGCTGCAGCTAGTCTGGATGTTTTATTATCGCCTGTTCTTAATTGCTCATGGGCTCTTTTATACATTTTCTTTGTTGTGCTGTCTTGATTTTATTGTTGTTTTAAAAATACTGTAAGCTACCTTGGGGTGAGGGCTGCTACCAATGTTCCCTCTAAGCTGTGGAGTCTTGTGAGCAAAAATTCTACTTTCTGTGCTACTGGCATTAAAGTTGTGAGCGAGCGATTTGGCTGCTGCATACATTCGTCTGCTCTGGAGCCATCCTTCCTGAGCTAAGACAAAAATGTGTGAGCTGGAGGCTAAAAAACTGAGCCAGCTCACACTAACTCAGCTTAGAGGGAACACTGGTTGCTACCCTTGGGGCTACGTGGAGTCTTGGGTTACAACCAGGGCTATTTTTGGGCAGGAACGCACAGGAACGGAGTTCCGGCTGGCTCCCAAGTTGGCCACGCCCAGCAGGAACTCATTAGCATAATAGGCCACACCCAACAGCAGAAACTCATTAGGATTGGCTACATTAGGGGTGTGTGGCCTAACATGCAAAGGAGTTCCTGCTACAAAAAAAGGCCCTGGGTTTTGACAACACACAAGGTAAACAGAATAACAAGCAAAAGGTGGGTGTGGCTGGATGACCACACTTCTGGTAACGTGGGTGCGGCCTAATGTGCTAATGAGCTGTGCTGTCTGGTGTGGCCCAATATGCTAATGCGTTCCTGCTGTTGGGTGTGGCCTATTATGCTAATGAGTTCCTGCTGGGATTTTTCTACAAAAAGAGCCCTGCGAGTCTCAACTTTTATGCTCGTAGATTTTTTGGCTCACAAAGTAGAATTTTTGCCCACAAGAGGATAGTTTAGAGGGAACATTGGAAGTGCAAAGGTGGGGGGTACCCAATGGGAGGTCTGGCACAGGGGTGTGTGTGTGTGGAGAGTTGGCAAACCAAGATGAGGGGCAGGCACAGCAAGAGCAGCTGATGATGTTAAACCGGGGGGGGGGGGGGTGGGATGCCCAGAGGTGCAGACGTCGAGGACCCTAGGGTCCAAAATGCAAATGGGTAGATCTACCAGGAGGTCTAGCACAGAAGGGGGGGGGTGGAGAGTTGGAAAGCCAAGACAAGAGACAGTCACAGCAAGGGCAGCTGATGATGTTAAGCGCATGGGGGGAGTGCCCAAAGGCATGGAAGTTGAGGATCCTAGAGAACAAAGTGTAAAGGGGGGGGGGAAATCCCATTAAGGACAAGTGTGAGTCCTCAGCCAATGAATCCACTGGCTGAGCCCCTCTGCTCGGCTCCAGCAGAAGGACGGGTGCCTCAGAGCCCTGAGTAAGTACTAAACACTCCCAACCCCACTGTTTTCACAGCTGCCTGTCTCTCTCTGCCTAACTCCCTGCGACAAAGTAAAAACAGCTACGTGTGAGCTGGGGGGTATTCTGCCGCTTGGAGATCAGGTGCGGGCAGCCCCCGCTAGAAAAACAGCATTTAAAGGGTTCCCTTCAAATATACATAACTTCAGTCATCCAGGCTGCAAAATGGAGTTCTAGAGAAGATACCCAGCGGAGCAGTGGAAAGGGAGAGGGCAGGCAAGTGGCCGAGGGCTGCCAATGTCCGGGGAGCTGGGCAAACAAAAAAAGAGCACGGGAGAGATTGTGTAAACCAAAGATGAGACACACCGTGCTGACTTGCGTCACAAATTCTCTATTGTTATATAATAAAAATGAAATATAGCTTCACTAAACTTAAAGATCCAATGCATAACCCTCCTGGGTATATAACTTAAATCCAATCAATGCAAAACCCTCCTGGGTATATAAGAAATAAGCTATTTTAAAAGCATAAATACAGCCTCTGTGGCTGTAACGGAATCTCAGCTGGCTGACATGTTTCGAAAATTTCCTTTGTCAACGCCAGTATAAAAACGACAGTATAAACCGGGGGGGGGGGTCATTTCCCCTTTGTTTCTCTCCAATCATAAATAAGCTCTCAATTTTAACATCTATGATATTAGTTGTATTAAAGTAAAGGTAAAGGTTCCCTTGCTCGAAAGCCAGTCTAGGGTTGCGGTGCTCATCTCCGTTTCCAAGCCGAAGAGCCAGCGCTGTCCGAAGACGTTTCCGTGGTCATGTGGCCGGCATGACTAAACACCAAGGCACACGGAACGCTTTTACCTTCCCACTGAAGTGGTCCCTATTTATCTACTTGCAATTTCTTGCTTTCGAACTGCTAGGTTGGCAGGAGCTGGGGCCAGAGACGGGAGCTCACTCCGTCATGCGGCACACTCGGGTCTCGAACTGCTGAACTACCGACCTTCCACAGCCTGCAGTTCAGCGTCTTAACCACTTGAGCCACCGCAGCTCCTTTTATTAGGTGTATTAGAGTATTGCATATTTTGTATATTTTGTTCTGGTTAATTAATAACATTTATATATTTTTTAAAAAACCAGTATAAAAACTTTAAAATGTAGAGGTAAATGTATTTTGTGCCTGGTTTAATGGCCCTCGATATAAAGCAGCTTTGTGCTTTCATGCATGTCCTTCCTTGTCGCCGGGCGGTGTACATGGCTCTTCTTCCTGCATTGATTTTATCCTCACAACAATCTAATTACTGCATTACACTGGCTTTCGGCTTACTCTTCCAGGTACCACAAGATTCTTGGTTGTTGTTGACACCTTCCTTTGTAAGCAGGAGTCTTATGGCACCTCAACAACGAAAGCCCTGTACATGTGACTGTTCTGCACACAGACTGAATGCACGGAGGCAGCGTCCATGCCTATGCAACTTCCCCATGATCAGGAACACTACCTTGTGAATGCTGCCAATCATAGGGAGCGGAAGATAGTTTGAGTTCAGGGGCACCTTTAAGACCAACAAAGTTTTATTCAAAGTATAAGCTTACCTGTGCATGCACACTTCTTCAGATACAGTGAAACAAAACCTTTAACCATTACATATAGGTGGTGGTGGGGGGTTAGTTGCCAGGAAGGGTTAGTTAAAATCAGGATGCATAAGTAACTGGGCAATTATAGCTGAGATTTGATTAAGGTGGTTGGTAAGATCTGTGAATAGCAGATACAAGAGTTAACACGTGTGAGAACTGAGTTTGAGCCCAGTGGCACCTCCAAGACCCACAAAGTTCAATTCTGGGTATAAATGAGAACTGGCTTTCTTGGGTGCCCTGAGCCAGTTCATAAAGAGTACAAGCACTAGTTCCACTTAAAACTAAACAGGGGCATAAAGTTTCAGAGGATCAGATTTGGTTACATTTCTGAATGGTGCCTCATGTTTGCCATTGTCTGGGGGTCATTTCGTAGAAAAAGAGGTGCAGGAGCTCATTAACATAACTCATTAGCATAACTCATTTGCATATGTCACACCCCCTGCCATCACCAGAAGTGTGTCAGAAGGCAACACCTACCGCTCCACTGGACTGTTTTGGGTTGCTATCTATTGGGGGGGGGACGTGCAGATCTGTCCTCTCAGAGGAGGGAGAGCTTGTACCTGAATAAGACTTGGTCTTAAAGGTGCCACTGGATTGTTTTGGACCGGGGGGGCGGAGGGGGGCTCTGCAGCTTACCTGGCTGCTTCTTGCTCTGACTGAGGGCTACTGGGAGCAGGGGGTGGGGCTTGTTGCATGTGCCCGCCCCCTGGGCTCTTTACTGCCGGAACTCCGCTACTGTGCACTCCTGCAGGAAATGACCCCTGCATAGAAACAGATTTCATCAAGAAAAGAAGAAGGAGGTTGGATTTATACCCCACCCTTCACTACCCAAAGGTGTCTCAGAGCGGCTTACAAACTCCTCTCCCTTCCCCTCCACACGACAGACACCCTGTGTGAGGTAGGTGGGGCTGAGAGAGCTCTGACAGAAAGTGCTCTTTCCCAGGCGCACGTTCAGGGGTCATTTCCTGTGGGAGCGCACAGAAGCGGAGCTCCGGCAGTAAAGAGCCCATGGGGTAGGCACATGCAACAAGCCCCACCCCCTGCTCCCAGCAGCC